TACCCCTACAATTTTCAGGGGTATTTTTGTAACTTTTCATCACCGAAAATATTTTTTAAGTATTTTTATTGTGTGCGCCCTTGTCAAATCTATGCATGCCCCAAATTTTACTTCAAAATTATTTGTAGAATAAAAAAAAAAAACTCTATGAGCCGTTTAATCAAGATCTAACAGCTAAGTGCTAGCTTGTGACATTGTGACTCAAGCCATCTCATGTATCTACTCAAATCTTATGGCTAAGGTCAAAGGTCACATATATGTGGGTGGGGTCACAGAGCCATCCCTTCAACTACTATCTACAAATTAACTTCTGTATTTAAAATGCTTCCTTCAAAAACTCTTGTATTCCTCTTTTTTCAAGTCTCCCAAAGAATTGCAATTCTAAAAGATTTCCACACAATCTTCCCCATCTTTAATAACAACTAAAGATTGAAATAAGTCAAGCTATAAACATAAAATTAAAGCCCACCTAAAAAATTTCACTAGAAGAGCTTGTTTTGATGTCCAAATATTCTCAAATTGATCATCTTGAAATCAAGATACATAGACATGAGAAAAAAAATGGATTTCAAGTTTTAGAAATAGTGTCTTGTGACGAATTGTTGGACCGTCAAGTTTCAAGATTTTCAAGTTTTCATAGATCTGCTCGATCTACACTATTTTTTAAGCTTTAAATTTTATAATTAAAAATAAAAATATATTTTAAAGCTATCACAAAGATTTTCAATATTGAAACCACATTTCTCAACACTATTTGAAGGTGCACTTTACTTTAATTGTTTAGAGCCTCGGCTCTATACCAACTATGCCCTAATGGTACAAATATTTAACAAAGAACATACCATATGAGATCTTCTCCCAAATCACTCCATTTTCCATTCATGGGGTAAAATAATAATTCCTTAGCTCCTGCCAGCAAAGAGAAAGTTCAGTTATCACTGCATCAAAAATTCTATTGTGTTTGCAAGTGATATACCAAAAAGTATCAAAACACATACTAGATACCAGATCACCAACTCCAGCATCTTGATGAATGACCTTACAGCTTCTGATACATCAGTTTCAATGGCATAAACCCTTTCAATTTGTGGAGCCAAAAAGAGTTTTGCCCATACACCCACTTTGATCCTCATATTTATAACCAAAAAAGGGTTACAAAATATAATTCTTCTCCACAGAGACAGAGACGACATTCTACTCCCAATCCTTGCAACTCCTATCAAATTTGTATCTCTATCCACCCCATATTTTGCTCTCAAGATCTAACACCCCAACTGGCCCTCATTTTGTGGGGCTTCTCCTTCTCCACTACCAATTCGTATGTAAAGCCTAATTCATAAGTTTAAATTTTTTAATTCCTAGGCCCCCTTCAACCTCTAGAGTGCAAACCTTATACCATCTAATATTTCTTAAGTTTCAATTTTCTAATTCCTATGCCCCCTTCAACCTCTAGAGTGCAAACCTTATACCATCTAATATTTCCTACTCTACCAGAACTTCTTCCTCAAACTTTCAAGCTTCTGTACCAAATCGTTTTTTTTTTTTGGATAACATTCCAAATTTATTGATAATAGAGCAGATTACAAGATGTTCAAGATATTATTTGCAGTTACAAGCGCCTCCAAACTAACACCCCTTTTGGCTAGGGAATCGGCCACATTGTTGGCCTCCCTATACACATGAGTCAGAGTTACAGTCAGCTGAGACATCAGATCGAGGATATGAAGACCAATGACTTTATGTTGCCAAGGAAAGTGATGCTCTTTCTTACACCATTTAATGACATTAATCAAGTCCCCTTTTATGAAAACGCCTTCCACAGTGTTCCTTGCAACAAGTAATTTCAATCCCTGCAACAAGGCTTGGAGTTCAGTATGATTTGCTATAGCAACCCCACACGGTCCAGCATATGTGACTAAGGCTCGTCCTTGCCAATCCCAGATAGCACCACCGATCCTAGCTAACCCTGGATTGCCCAATGAGCATCCATCAAAGTTCGGCGTTAGCACTTTTTGATCTGGTGGCTTCCATCTGGGGCGATGTCTAAACTTTGGCACATCCAAAGAAAAATGTTCGAGAGGTTAATAAAAACATCCACCTTAGATAAACTCCGACCTACCTTTGTAACAGAAAGCCACGACCATAGAGAGATTTTGCTATTGTTTAACACCCTGTCAAAACTACAGACTCTCCCTTCAAAGGTTCTCCGATTTCTCCCCGGCCACACTTCCCAAATAATAGCAGCGAAGAATCTTCCAGATAGAGCTTCCAATTTTCGGTAAGGGTACCTTCAATTGAGTTATTAGGTCCAACACATTTTGTGGAAAAGTAAGGTTTATCCCCAACAATTGAAAGCATCACCACCAAATTTTGAATACAAATGGACAATGGATAAACAAATGCGCCCCATTCTCACCATCTTCCTTACACATCAGGCATACATTTGTGATAATCTTCCCTCTCTTAATGAGGTTATCCACCGTTAGGATTTTATCTTGAGCGGCTAACCATAGGAAAATTTGCACTTTATGAGAAATATGTCATTTCCATATTTGCGTGATCTTTGGGAGAGACTGCCGTACTCTATCAAAGAAAAGTAGTCTATAAACTGATTTGACAGAGAATTGGCCATCGTTTTTGAATTCCCAGGTGACCTCATCCTCATTGTGTTGCAAAATGAAAGTTTGTTGGAGCTCTTTAAACAGATTGAGAAGCGGTATATAGAGAAGGCTATGAATCCTGTCTTAAGGAAAAGTGATATTCCAGCTTACGTTGCTGCCTCTCACCAAATCAACCACCGATGCCATAGGGAAGTTGATCTTCTCAAATAGTAGGGGGAAGCTATATCTCAAAGGCTCATCACCCAACTATTTATGTTGCACCTTACTTTAAAAGAAGCACTTTACACCATAACTGCTCTCTGCAAGTAAGACTCCACCAGCACCACTTACAAAGCAGAGCTGCATTCATAAGTGGTTACAAATCACTTGGCATCTAAGGGATTGACATATAATATAGCGGGAGATTAGATAAAGCATATTTCAGTAAGGTAATCCCTCCACCTAAAGTAAGGAATTTGGACTTCCAGAGGTCAAGTTTTAAGTGGAATCTATGCACGATAGGATCCCATACCAAAAATTGGCAATCTAGAATAAGAAATTGGCATCATTAAGCAATTGAAAGGAAAATATTCAAACTTACATCCCAAAAGCTCTACGAATTTACCTGCTTCATCATCTTGACACTCAATACCCACCAAGGTAGTCTTACCCAGATTGACTTTCAGCCTTGAGACCACTTCAAAACATCTAAAAAACATGCCTAGATTTTGAAGTTGCTTGAAGTTTGGTCCACAAAAAATTAAGATATCATTTGCATACTCTAAGTGTGAAATACTAGGATAGTCCAAAGACACCTTGAAACCAATGATATGTCCCACATCTTCAACATTTCTAATCATGATACCAATTGCTTCAACCATAAA